AATTTGTGTCAGAAATAAAAAAAATCATACACTTCCTGTAAAGGGGCTTCAGGCTTTTTTTAAATCTTACTGAAGTACCATATGAGGATTCCATTAGCTCAAGGCAGCACATAGTGTTTTTCACATCCTAATTTAATTCAGTTTTATCGTAGAAGTCGGACATTACCATCGGAAGTATTTGCTACAATATTGCTGTCCACTGATATATGGCACATCTCTGCATGACACAGAACTACTGACATCCATTGTTTCGCTGATGCTGGCAGCATTGCTTTGAAAAGTGCTCTTTAAATGTATGTGTAACAGCTGGAGTAAATCTGTGGCTACTTGTCTATAAACTATTGATCAGACTTTTAAATACCTGCTTGCTAATGGCAATGAAGACTAATAAAAGCACTATATGCTTCTCTCTCAAGAGCTCTTCCCTGGATTGGATTGGAGATGTGTTGAGACTTGCTCCAACTCAAGTTACTGGGAAAACACACATTAATTTCCATTGGAAATAGAATTTGATGCTGACTCTTCAGGTGTTTAGAGAACTATAAATATGCCATTGACCATTTCACATTCTTAATATCCAGTGAAAATAGAAAACCACACAGATGAATTTCAAAGCTTCTCTCCAGTGAATGGAACCAGCTGGCAATGCTGTCTGCTAGGGCAGATCCTCACACATGTCCTGTCAGACAACCTGAGAAGTGCTGCGATGAACAGCACAGCTCTACGGAGCTGCATCCTCCCGTCCATCCTCTGTGTATACATTTGCTCCTGTTTGCACTTCCTAACAGTCTAAATATATCCTACTGTTTTAGGTATTCCCCTACCTAGCTGTTCTCTACTGCAGACTGCTTCAGCTAAAAAGAAGAAACATTGGGAAAACCTCTGCATGTCACCACGTAGCTACAGAACACCACCTAAGCAATTCAGTGCTGAGAAAAAATGACATTAAATGCCTCTCTTTATGAAACCAAAGGAGTAGAGGCTAAAGCACACATCTGCCATGTTTACAGCTCTCTTTGGGGAAATGCAGTGAGACTACCTCAGCTTCCATGCCAGCAGCAGAGCAGATCATTGGTAAAGAACCAGTAGCCAGATTTCTTCTAAGTCCACAGTGAGTTTCTCCTACAGCATGCTCTAAAACAACTACCAGTTGTAAGTTATTTATTACCAGTTACAAATAAAACTTTTCAACAACACTTGACATGCTTTTTTTTTTCTTATTTCAAATATTATGGCAAAACACAAGCAAGCAGCAGAAATGACCATCTAAATAATTAATGGTCTAGCTCTGCAATTCATCACTTTCAGAAGAGCAGTCTCATTGGCATCAGCAGGACTGCTTACATCCTGGTATTTGGCTAACGATGAACAACTAGTAGGCAGTCAGCATACAGATGAAGAATTCTTGGAAACATCTCCTTATTAAGCTTCCTGCAAGCACCAGCGCAGAATGCCAAAACATACTCAGAGCAAATCCCATTGAGCTACAAAAGGATGTAAGAATCCACAAGTGTTTTACCAAGGAGTTGGATAGGGCTGTCACCACTGATCATGTAAGCTCCGACACTACACCAAGGTTATGGTGATGGAATCTGTAGATGATTCATGCATATCTCCAGTCCTTAGTTTGATTAGAAAATACCCTCTGAGTTACGTTTCCTTCATTTGTCAAGATAGGTTGCCAAATGAAGCCAACGCTGGCAGTCAGAATTTGTTTACTAATTATCTGGGAGTACAGCTCTCATTTTTCCCTTGTATATTCACATGACTAACAACATATGTTACGAACCCCATTATTATCACTCCTCCATACTGGTTTTTGATGAACAGTTCAAGAAAAAACACACTACCGAAGCTCTCAAGAACTGTGAAATAAGAAATACGGAGAAGCTTTAATATTGTGTTGTATGTTATATGCTTTACCCAACCACAACAAGTGAACTACTCAAAAAGCATCTAAATCTCGCTTCAAGGAGATAAGGTGCCTTACATTTGTGACAATATTCTTCTGTCTTTCTGCCTATTGAAGGAGCAGTTAAGACTTCTACGTAGACATTTTTTCAATTTCCTGAGTGTCACTGGCATGTCAAGTCTCCCCACGCCTTGAGAAGTTAGAATTAACACCAACATCCTAACCTGGATAGCACAACAATTTCATGCAAGGCCTTTTTTTTCATTTCATTGAAGATCCAGTATCTCTTCACAAAACTAGCCCTACAGCATCGGCCGCAAACCCGTACTGCACCTACCACCTTCCCTGAACATGATGGCCAAACGTTTTGTATTGCCTTTTCTTCATCCTTCCTCCTGTATAGCAAAATCACTGTTATCTGTCAGTCTCCTCAGTGAATGAAGAGATTCACTAAAAGGCTACTATCTGAAGAGCAGAATGGTGGAAGTTTTTTTGTTAGACAGAGATGCTTTATTTCACATTGAAAAGAAAAATTGCTGAGTGGAATCTAAGCTGCATATTAAGGGACTTACAGCCCACTTGTTTGGCTTTCCAAAGTGTATGCAGCCTAGTAATCCTAACCCACAGATGCAAGGCTTTGAAATGGAAGTATATCTAAGACATTCATACCACATTTTCTCTGAAATTTCTTTATATTTAAAATTAAAATAATAAATTTTAATTGGGGTAACTACAATAAAAAATTTGTAGGTTCAAGTTTCAATGGATTTTTACATCTTAGAAAATGTAGTCTGAAATATTGCTTGGCTCTTTTTTCAGGGCAAGGCCTAGAGGAAACGGGGTGGAATATGCTATGTATGTATGATGTTTTTTCAAGACTCTTGGAAACAGAGCAACTTACATATGTAATAGAGCCGAAGCAATGACTGAATAAAGAATGACAAATAACTTAAGATTTGTTATGACAACTTTGACATAATAGCACTGTGCAATTTTTTTTTTAACTATGTGTCTGACGCAGCAACACTCTCAGGAAGAACAGCTGCTTAACTATTTCACTGCAAACAAGACTATGCAGTTGAGGATCATGACAACATCAGTCAACATCAACAGGAGTTTCCAATTTTATTTGAGATATATAGAATAGTCTATATTTCAGCTGCAGCTTTCTGAATGGGGAACATGATCTGGGCACATGCATGCTTAGACAGCAGCAGTAGGCTGGGAGTAAGCTGGTACTACTAGGGAAAGTCTGACTGAATCATGAATTACTAATGGGGCTTCTAGGGAACTAGAGCCTATTTAAACAATGAATTTCAATTTATAAATCAAGTCATAGGAATTACGGATATCCAATGATGCACATCACTTTTGAGCAGACATTGGTGGCAAGTATCTCTAATAATTTCTTCGCAAAGACTTTCTGTAACCTAATTTTACCTATACGCAATGTAGAAGGAAGCAAAATTCTAAGAACAAGGAGTACAGAAGTCGAACACTTTTCCAAAACATAAAAATCCTTTACCTGATTGCTTTCAAGCCACTTCCAGTTGACTTTCAATATTCTTTTCCACAATTAATTCTGTTACCATGCTTTGGAAAATCTGACAAAAATGTCAACAACTAGATGCCAACCACTTAGAGCTGTGTGAAACTTGGCGGTTTCGCTTTGCAGGAGTGCAGGCAAATATTTTATTTGGTGTCAATCCACATATGTTCCCTCTCTACCACTTTCAGTTTGAGTTTTGAATACGTCCAAACAGGCAAATGAATATGCAGTCAAAATTTCCACATTTTACCTAGTTTCACTTCATGACCAGGCAAATAAAAACAGGCAGGCATATCTTCATGAATCAACAATGGAACGAGTTAGATTTTCAAAATGGGAAAGAAACAGAAGAAAACATGTCATGTGACTGAGGTGATTTACACTCATCTAGCCACTCAGAAAACCCAGAGTCATGATGGTGTTAACTCTCCCTAGCACCATTTTTGTATTCTATATTCCGTAAAGCACCGCAGGCATATGCATTTATGATGCTATATAAAGGCCCAAAATGAGAATAATAGTAGTAATAATTGATTTTGTTTTAAATCCTGCCAGCATTTTACATCATCCCAGCTGCTTTCTACTCTTTCCATCCACCCCCAAGTATCCTGGGATTGCAGCTCACTGGATAACCACTGCTGCTGTCAGTGTGCCCAATTCTGGTCTTTACCTAGTAAAAATCATGACTGATTCAATAGAAATTATGGCAGGTGAAATTTGTTTTAAATAAGAGAGGTATGCCACAGAAGTAATAACCATTCAAAAGGTCTGACCATATTAACATTTCTGCTGAGAACACACTCATTGTGCACTTCTATGGAGGAACAGAAAGGAAAAAAGGGTATGGAGTCCCAAATCCAACCAACTTCACCTGTAGTCATAGGAACGTGGAAAGTTGTGAGGTAGAGAAGAGAGGCCAAAGGGATGAGAGGAATGAAAGAAAAGAAGTAATGAAGATGAGAAAGCAGATGTAAAATATTGGTAGAACTAGGAAAGACAGAACAGTCTGAAAACTGAGATGTAGAAGAAAAGGAACATAACACGGATGAGAAAGATAACTTCAGAATATAGGATCGGAATGAAGAACAAATGAATTACAGATGGACTGAAGCAGAGAGGATAATACACTGAAAAGGAAGGAGAGTGAGCATGGAGGTAATTAATTACAGCCATACATTGAAGACCAAGATAAAATTTGGAATGGCGATGAGAAAAGTTGAAGAATGGCATAAGAATAAAAAGGAGATCCAAAAACAGAAAGGTATGGGACTGAGAGACAAAAGTGTAACTGGAAATAGGACAAAGAAGATCAAAACTTTATAGGATAAAGGCAGAAGTAGGATTTGAGAAAAATTATGCACAGGATCATAAATGTATGAATCACAAAGTGGTTGAAAATACGGGTAAGTACAGAGGTAGGACCCAAGAAGATACAAAAGAAAGAAGACCTCAGGAAAGGGATGGGAGTGAAAAGCAGCAGACGAAGCTGATGCTCGGACGGAGACCTTGGTGCTACCCCTGCATGCAAGGTCATCTTACCAATCCACCACAGGTACTGAAGGAGGCGAAGGAGCCTGGGTAGCGGAGAACAGCACCACTGTAGTAACAAGCTCTCTCAGGTTGCGACTGTGCAGCACCAGGTGGGCTTTTGCCCTCACCCCTGAGCCGATCCTCCACGGCAAAGCCAGGAGCCAGGAAGCGGCTGTCCCTCTTGAGCAGCAGGTAGAGCTCCCGAGCAAAAGCCGGGATCCTCAGCAGCACCTCATCTCCATCCTCTGCTGGAGGTGGCAGCGGTGGGGATGGTGGTGGTGGCAACTGAGAGGCAGCACCAGACCCCTGGGGCTGAGGGGACCAGTGGTAAAACTCCAGAGACTCATACTCGTCCTCAGTGTCCTCTTCCTCTGCCGCCTCTCCCACAGCCTGCGCCTGCCCCTCCACCGAGGAGGAGACGGAACGCACCTCCCGGGAACTGCCGGCCACCGGGCTAGGTGTGACCGGGGCGCTGAGGGGACTGCTCCGGTTCCCACAGCTGGGGTCGGCGCTGCAGCCCCCGCCACCGCCTCCCCCCCGCCGGCTCCTGCTGGCCCCTGCTCCACAGCGCAGGGAAGACAATCTCCCACTCCTCCGTTTCTTCTGAGGCATGGAGACCTGCGAGAAGGCCAGCAGATGCTTTAAACGAGCGCAGCGCCCAGCAGCACACACCGCCTGCCACAAACCTACCCTGTGCCCCCCTCCACGACACGCTCCTTCCGCCTCCCAGCCCGCCCAGCATGCCCCCCGAAATCCGGCGGGCTCCCTTCGGCCCTTCCACCCTGCCCTTCCACCCTGCCAGCCGCTAGGCGTCTCCGTGCCCGCCCTGGGCTCCGGCACACACCGGGGACCTGGCAAACATCGGGGGAGAGCTGGAGCTCGAGCTGGGCAGAAGCTTTGTTTGCACCAGCAGCTGGGGATGTTCTTCTTCACGACCGCCGCTTCCGCGCGAGGGGAGTTGCACGAACCTCTCGTCATTTAGACGAAGTGGCAACTTTTTCATACAGCTAAAAAAAAAATGTAATTTTAGCAGGGAAAACCTGAACAACCAAACAAAAAATGAAAATTTCAAGCTCATCTCAGCATGTTTTGCAAGACTCACTATGATTTCAAAAGTCCTGTCAAACGCACACGCACCCCACGGCCGCGCATTTGCGAGTCCACGTACCAGTGGCAGATGCATGCACGTGCTGTTATCATCATTACAATCAAACTGATTTATAATCACTAATTAGCGATGCCTGCGTATTGCACACACCATACCACAATTTAACCAAAATTCCCAGCACACCAGCGTTATGTTTATAAACATATGAGCACACACAATCTCCACCACCCTGAGACAGAAGGCAGCTTTATTTACACATGCATCCTACACGCGCTAGGAACAGCACGAGCTGGATGACAGGGCTGCGTACGAAAATTAGTATCTCGTCAGACGAGCGCGTTACAACGCACCCTCA